AGAAGACTCTTGAGAGTCCCTTGGACTGCAAGGAGATCCAACCAGTCCATCCTAAAGAAAATCAGTCCTTAATATTCATTGGAAGGACTGATGCTGAAGCTGAAACTCCAATACTTTGGCCACCTCATGCGAAGAGCTGACTCATTGGAAAAGGCCATGATGCTGGGAAAGATGGAGGGCAGGAGGAGAAGGGGACGACAGAGGGTGAGATGGTTGGATGGCATCACCGACTTGATGGACATGAGTTTGAGTAAACTCTGGGAGTTGGTGATGGACAGGGAGGCCTGGTGTGCTGCGATTCATGGGGTTGCAAAGAGTCAGACACGACTGAGCGACTGAACTGAACTGAACTGAATATTACATTGTGTATGTACTGCATCTTCTTTATATCTTTATCTTCTGATGGACATCTAGGTTGTTTCCATGTGCCAGCTATTGTACATAGTGGTGCTATGAACATTAGGGTACACGTGTCTTTTTCAATTATGATTTTCTCAGGGTATATGCCCAGTAGTGGGATTGTTGGGGTAGTTCACTTCCCAGATGGCTTAGGTGGTAAACAATCTGCCTGCAGTTCAGGAGACCCAGGTTTGATCCCTGGGTTGGGAAGATCTCCTGGAGAAAGGACCAACTACCCACTCCAGTGTTCTTCCCTGAATAATTACATGAACAGTGGAGCCTGGCAGGCTACAGTCCATGAGATCACAGAGTCAGACACAAATGAGCGACTAATGCTTCATTTTCATGGTAGTTTTATTCCTAGTTCTTAAAGGAATCTCCATACTATTCTCCATAGTGGCTGTATCAATTTACACAGATGGCCAGTAAACACATGAAAAGATGTTCAACATCACTAAATATTGGAGAAATACAAACCTAATTCATCTTGGTGTTGCTCACAGTTCACTTAAAAAGAAAATTTACTGATGATTACATGCCAGACACCACTCTACACTGGGGCTACAAAGATGAGTAAGACTCGGTGTCTACATTTGAACAAGCTCACAATCTAGACAGATAGACAATCCTTTCTGTATGCTGTGCTAAGTGTCACAGAGGGGCGTGGCCTGGGAGGCTGGGTGGAGTGTCACAGAGTAACAGAGCAGAGGCTCCCAGGAAGGGTGGAGCCCCTGGAAAAGGGCCTACGGGTGTGGAGGCATAGAACGCAGTGAGAGAAAGGAGGAAGGCTTCTGTGCTGAGAATGCCAGGTCTCCAAGTTTGAATCAAGTGTGGGGCACAGACATTTCTCCAAGGAAGACATACAGATGGCTAACAAACACATGAAAAGATGCTCAACATCACTCATTATCAGAGAAATGCAAATCAAAACCACAATGAGGTACCATTATACGCCAGTCAGGATGGCTGCTATCCAAAAGTCTACAAGCAATAAATGCTGGAGAGGGTGTGGAGAAAAGGGAACCCTCTTACACTGTTGGTGGGAATGCAAATTAGTACAGCCACTATGGAAAACAGTGTGGAGATTTCTTAAAAAGCTGGAAATAGAACTGCCATATGACCCAGCAATCCCACTTCTGGGCATACACACCAAGGAAACCAGATCTGAAAGAGACACGTGCACCCCAATGTTCATCGCAGCACTGTTTATAATAGCCAGGACATGGAAGCAACCCAGATGCCCATCAGCAGACGAATGGATGAGGAAGCTGTGGTACATATACACCATGGAATATTACTCAGCCATTAAAAAGAATTCATTTGAATCAGTTCTAATGAGATGGATGAAACTGGAGCCCATTATACAGAGCGAAGTAAGCCAGAAAGATAAAGACCATTACAGTATACTAACACATATATATGGACTTTAGAAAGATGGTAACGATAACCCTATATGCAAAACAGAAAAAGAGACTCAGATGTATAGAACAGACTTGTGGACTCTGGGAGAAGGCGAGGGTGGGATGTTTCAAGAGAACAGCATTGAAACATGTATATTATCTAGGGTGAAACAGATCACCAGCCCAGGTTGGGTGCATGAGACAAGTGCTCGGGCCTGGTGCACTGGGAAGACCCAGAGGGATCGGGTGGAGAGGGAGGTGGGAGGGGGGACCGGGATGGGGAATACATGTAAATCCATGGCTAATTCATTTCAATGTATGACAAAAACCACTGCAATGATGTAAAGTAATTAGCCTCCAACTAATAAAAATAAATGGAAAAAAAAAAAGTGTGGGGCAGGTGGTGGCTGAATACAGGCAAGTTTACTTTTCAGGGTATCCCTGTTCTGCTCAAGGGTACGATTGCAAAAGAGGCAGTAAACATTGTCATCATGGACAACGTGAATCAAGGCACATCTTTGTCTTGCTTTATGTCCTGAAATGCTCCTGGGCCTCCTCTCTGGGAGGGCCCTGCAACTTTGTCTTCAGCAGAAATTTAAATCCTAGTTATTTTTCTGACCTGTGCAATGGAAGGATCAGGGATCTTTAGGGTTTTTTCTAGCACTAACTCTCCAACCTCCACTGTCTTAGGGGCTGTTGATGCTGTGATATTTGACTCCTGACTGCTGAGCCTCTGCTGGGAGCTGAAGCAAAACAGGTCGACCAGGCCCCACAGCCTTGGAACTGTCTGCAACCCATGGTCCTGCCTTATGTGTGCATCCAGAAATGCATTCACCCTTCTCAAGCAATAAGAGTGATTCCAAGAAGGAAGAAACTGCAGTTTAACTTTGCTCCACCTCAGTCCCTGGGGTCGCAAAGAGTCAGACATGACTGAGCAACTGAACTGATGTTCTCTGACAATTCACAATCCTACGTGGCAGCCCATTTCATTAAAAGATGAACTCTGGGGGACTTCATTGGTGGTCCAGGGGTTAAGCATCCACCTTGCAATGCAGGGGATGTGGGTTTGATCCTTGGTCAGGGAACTAAGATCCCACATACCTCAGAGCAACTAAGCCTGCGGCTAGCTACCAAGCCCATGGGCTCCGGAGTGCCTGTGCCACAACTGGAGAGTCTGGGCATCAGGATGAAAGACCCCTCAGGATGTAGCAAAGATCACTCATGCTGCAGCTAAGACCCGATGCAGCCAAATATGTACATTCATTAATTTAGGAAAAGAAAAAAGAAATTTTAAAAAAGAAGAGCTTTGCCAGAAGGTTGTGTTTTGTGCTGCATTTAGTAGAAGTCCAGTGACTTCCACTATCAGGTGTTGGCAGTATACTGCCCTTTTCTCCTCTACTTCTCACATGAGGAGGGGTAAGAAAAAATGGTGGAGAGATCATTTCTATTGGGGTTTCAATATAACTTGAGAACTTCCTTATAGATGCAATATATCACTATATCAATAGTGAAGTTATGCTGTGAAGGTCAGATGAAGCAAAGGAAAACGGCTGGGCTTCTCTGCCTTGAGTCCTGCTCACAAATTCTCTAACCAGTGTTCTAGAATGAGATGACTAGGCTCCTCTCTGACCACCAGCAGAACTACCACTGTTTAGATTTCCTTGGAGCAAGGGCACAGTTATATTTTGAAGCAGAGGAACTTTTTCTAATACATAATAATAATAACACTGACTAATATCTATTGGGCTTTTATAATGGCCCAGAGAATTTAACACAATATATGAATAAGTGGAGAGCTTATAATCTGGGCTTCCCTGATGGCTCAGTTGGTAAAGAATCTGGGCCGCAATGCAGGAGACCTGGGTTCAGTCCCTGGGTTGGGAAGATCCCCTGGAGAAGTGAATGGATATTCACTCCACTATTCTGGCCTGGAGAATTACATGGACGGTGTAGTCCATGGGCTCAGAGTTGGACACAACTGAGTGACTTTCACTTTCACTTACTATAGTCTAATGAATACATTGAAAAGTAAGAGAGAAAGAGATGAGAGAGAAGTGAGCCTATACTAAGGCTATACTAAGCCTTATATACTAAGGCGAGCCTATACTAAAGCTTGTGATCTGTGTTAAGTCACGAGTCTTTTTTGCCTTCTCAATTCTATATTTGAAAATCCTTTTGGAAAGTTTTGTTTCTGGAACAATTATGATCTCACTGGTGGCAACAAGACTGCAATTAGCTCATCATTCTTCTTCACTTTACATGTTGACATTAACTGGGAATCTGTCTAATGTCGGATTTTGAGACTGTTACCAGTGTGTGTGTGTGTGAGCATGAGTAAGACTGCCCCTGCCAGCCTCCAAGAATGAGTAAGAGGAATCACTCTGCCCAGCAAACATTGCTGGAGGCTTGCTGCTGGCCAGGTAAGGATCACCTTGGTCTAGCAGTGGTAGTGAGTGCCCCATACTGCAGATTCCAATTTAGAAGGTATTTTCTCTTTTAAAAAAAGTGTTTATTTATTTATTTGGCTGTGCTGGGTCTTAGTTGTGGCATGAGAATTCTTAGTTATGGCATGTAAGATCTAGTTCCCTGACCAGGGATAGAACCCAGGCCCCTGCATGGGAGCACAGTCTTAGCCATTGGACCACCAGGGAAGTCCAGAAGGCATTTTCTTATAGAAACATGGATACAGAGGGTGGCTTAGTTATCAGACTAATGCCCAAAGCACATTTAGACTCCTTGAAATGGTATTTGAGTGCCAGAGTCAACCTCTATTGTTATGTTAGAGAATGTTGCCTATGTATGTGTATGTGTGTGCACATGCATGTTTGTGTATATACTGTGTCATTGGTAAGTGGTAATGGGAATTGGTAAAAAGCAATGCGAGGATGATAACAACATCATATTTTAGGAGCAACCTGAATTAACCAGGCACATCTTCATTGGATAACTTCTCCATTTAACCTCTAATATGGCAGAGAAGCAAGCCTCACCTTGAGCAGGGGATATGTGCTTGGCACATTTATGTATGTTATCCCAATTTAATCTTCACTTTATTGTAAAAAAAAAGCTCCATGAAGGAGGTGGAATGAAGTTATAGCATATGTAGGCTTAGATTCTAGAGTCAATGAAAATTATAGAGTCAAAATTCACCCTGAATCACATATAAAAATATACACGGTTTGATTACAACTCTGAACAGTAATAAGTAAAGACATATGACACATGCAGTAATATGTCATCTTTTACAAAGAGTTCAAAATAACATGCAATTTTAGAGATGAAGTTGGTGCACTTATTTGCAAGAGGCCATATATAAAAATAAATGCTGAAGACTTCCTAACTAAATACATAGACCTAGTCCAAATATTTGATTTTGTTCATTTATGCTCTACTATATTATTACCCCAAAGTTGTTAATAAGGAAGATTAACTTAGAAAAGTTAAGTAACTTGTTCAAACAGATACAGCTGTTAAGTAGTAGAATTGAAGTTTGAATCTAGGTTTTTCTGACTCCAGGGCCTCTGCCTTCCTAAATGTATTCTGACTTCTAAATAATTGTCCAGCAAATGACTCTTTGAAGACTATTTATAAGTTAAGATTTACCTGAATTTATATGTAATATGTTACATATATCTGTACACATAAGTACATAGCTATGTGACTTGTACATGTATACCAGAAATTAATAAAAATAGAACACAGTAGGAATTGAATGAACCAATTCAAATGGACAAAGTAAGAAATCCAGATGAACACTAGAAGAGGAATTAAGTAGTTATCTCTTAGTGAATACTCAGTGTTTACTGTCAATACCTATAATTTTACTAAATGTGCTAACAGTTTTCATTCAACACATGAAATTCCTGAGGCTGAAAGATGGTCATAGAATAGACGCGAAAGGCACTGAAGCACATGAGGTATAAATTTGGATCAGTATTGTATTTAAAGTCCTGGACATGTCAGATAAACACATTTTTCATCCATTTGTCCATCCATCCATCCATCCATCTGTCCATCCATCCTGCCAACCATCCATCCATCCAATAGAAGATGTACCATGTGCCAAGCACCAAGGTCAAAAATTTCTGTACATTAAAAATATAAAATACATCCTCCAATAATTCACAAATGTATCCTAGTTCCCAAATGCTAGAAATGATTCTTATTGAGTAAAAAGCTAGAAATGTGTACCCTGCTCAAGGGCTTTTATGATAGGCTACTTTGTGTTGTAAATTCATTACAAGTTATCATCTTTTCATTAACAAATATCACCTGAATTATTCATATAGCATAGTTTTTTTAACTGGCATATTTCTTCAAATGAATACAATAGTATTTCTTTCAAAATAGGAGTAAGCCAGACTTCATTAATTGGGGCAGAATATGGCTCCTGCACCATTAATTGAAGAGATTTTGCTTTCTATTTTATTTATAATCAATAGAGGCCAGTGCTTTGCAGTTATAGGATCCTCATTTGATTACAAAATATACTGCCTTTGAGGTCAGACATTTCAGGGATGAACACCACTCACAGACATTCAGATGTGCTATGAATCACTTGGGTGTTGGAAGTGACAGTCATTGTTACCTGTGGTGTTGAAGCCAAAGAGGAGAGGGCAAGACACAGCAAAGGACAGCACCCAGACAGCTGTGATCATGAGGGCCACGCGTCGACAGGAGCTCTGTCCTGTGCCTTGCTGGTAGTGAACTGGCATGACCACAGCAGTGTACCTGTGAAAGGAAGGGGATAGAGAATAGATATGATAAGAAAGTGTCAAAAGACAGGTTGAAAAAGGTTACTAGATAAATAATCAGGTTGATACATGCGGAAGGAGAAAAATAATTTGGTTGGACAAACTTAAGGGAGAAAGGGGTCTTTGAGTGAACACAGCAGAAAGATTGAGATAAGACAGATGAAGGACTCATTGAGGGAGGTGAGCAGAGAAAGGAAGAAAGAGTGAAAAGCATAGCATAGTGACACTGGGTTGTCAGCGAACTTCTTATATATCCACGAGGGTATCAGGAATGCTGGTGGCCCAGCATATCCCCGTCTTGTATTCACACACCTTTACACCCTTACACCCTTAATCCTGAAGAGTCTAGGTGCTGGTTTGTGTGCCTTTATTTTCTTCCACAGTTTTCAGATAATAATGGAACTGTGCCCAAAGAAGTTTATCCCTGCTTGTATCCTAACATTAATTCTAACCCTTCAGTGACAACTATTCCAAGTAGCAGAGATTTTGTAAATAGAGATGAGTAATATCTAATGAAGGCTTATTTTAAAATCAACTTTTCATGCTGTCTTAGTCTGTTCAGACTGCTCTATCAAAAATACCATTGGGTGACTTAAACAATAAATATTTATTTTTCACAGTTCAGGAGATTGGGAAGTCCAGGATTAATGTGCTGGCAGGTTTGGTATCTGGTGTTAAACCCACTACTTGGCTGGTGGGTAGCCATCTTCTTGCTGTGTTCTCCCTTCCCTGGTGACTCAGAGGTTAAAGCATCTGCCCGCAATGCGGGACACCTGTGTTCCATCCCTGGGTCGGGAAGATCCCCTGGAGAAGGAACTGGCAACACACTCTGGTATTCTTGCCTGGAGGATCCCATGGACGGAGGAGCCTGGTGGGCTATAGTCCACGGGATCTCAAAGAGTCAGACATGACTGAGCGACTTCACTACTTACGGTGGGAAGGGTGAGGCAAGCTCTCTGGAGTCTCTTTTATAAGGGCAAATCCCATTAATGAGGGTGGATTCCTAATCACCACCCAAAGGTTCCACTTCCTAGTACCATCACAGTGGTGGTTAGGATTTTAATATATGAATTTGGGGGTGGGGGATGTAAACATTCAGTCTACAGCACATGCTTTTACATGGTCAAAGCAGTTTTTTATTCTTATTAGATATTGTCTTTTCTGTGGTATCTCCACACATACATTTCCAGCTGCTTATTGGACTTACCTGCACAGTTGTTCCGTGGTTGTCCCAAACTCAAACTATCTGAAATAGATCTTTCTGTTTCCCTACATTTCTTAATCTGGCTCCACTTCTTGCCTTTCTTCAAGATATCCATACCCAATACTCAGGCTTTTTGACATTTCTTTGGCCTTTTCATATCATTTGCTCATCCATTCATTTAACCTTTCATTCATCCAGCATTTATTGGGTTCTTTACTATATACCAGGCCTTATTCTGGAAATACCAAGATGTGCAAATGGGACAACGGTCTCTGTCCTTATTGAGGTTGGAGGTAAGTGGAGTGGATGGATGAAAAAAATATTAATATAAAATGAAAACTATCATGAAAGAATTAAGCTGGGTGACATGTTTAAGGGTAGAGGAGGATGTAAAGAAGGGCCAAACTGACACAAGATGGGAGGAAATGAGTGGGGTGAGAGGGAACCAGCCATGAGGGAAGGCAGGAGAAAAGCATTTTAGGCAGAAGGACAGCAGGTCCTATAAATTTATGCATTATAGTAACTTCCCCATTTACCCATGCAGTTCTACCACCTTCTCTCTGTGATGGACACAGCCTCATGGCTGGTTTCCTGTGCTAGGCTCCAAAATAGATTTCATTATGTCCTCCCCATCCCATGGCCCCTCAGCTGACAACTGTCTAAGATAGGCAGAATTCTAAGATGGCGTCCAAGGTTCATGCACTGTAGAACTAGCAGAACTCCTGTGACTAGACTACAAATCAACAGATTGAGTGAACCAAAAGGGAGATGATTCTGGGTGGCTGGGCCTAATCGGGTGAGCCCTTAAAAGGAACTCAGTACTTCCTGAATAAGAGAGAGTCAAAGCATGAGAAATTATCCTCCTGGCCTTGAAGAAGCAACCTGCCGTGCTTTGGAAAAATCATTTGGCAGGGAACAGCACAAGGCCTACAGGAGCTGAGAACAGCCCCTGGTTGACGACCACTAAGAAAGTGGGGACCTCTGTCATAATTGCAAGCAACTGGATTCCACTGACTACCTGAATACATTTGAAAGATGAAAACACAAGTCAGCCTATACCCATTTTCAGCCTCGTGAGATCCTGAGCAGAGAACCTACACTGTGCACAGACTTTTAACCCATGATAAAAAGTGGATATAGTTTAAGTCACTACATTTGTGATAACTTGTTGTATAGCAACAGAAAACAAATACTTGTCTCACCAATTTGACCTCCTGTGGGTCCTTGACACTTACTTCTAACTCCAGCCATGTTAGCCATGTAACCTGTGTTAGTGATTGGTAATCTTCAATAGTCTTTTTTCAACCCATTATCCCTTTTCCTCCCCCAGGTAGCTCATATTTTCTCTCCTTTAATTTCAGATCAGCTCTCAGTAACCATCCCAGTCCTTCCATCTTATGAAGACCTCTAACTCTAAATGTATAGCACTCCTCTGCCAATCAATCACATTGTTCTTCTGCATGCAGTGTCTTGCCTCACTAGTGAACTTACCTCATGGTTGGAGAGAGATAGACTCCGTATGTTTTAAGCTACTTAATGGCTCAACTCATCTTATAGCCTTGGTATTCCATATACGTCCTTGCACAAAGCAAGTAGTAAGAAGCTGTAGACTGATTGCCTCATGGATCCTGTAGGTATCCTACCCCAAAAGAGGACAATTCTAATTCTATCCCAGCTCAAGGGATCTAATATATATCACTGAGTCTACAAATGCTGAACATTTATTTATTTACTATTGAAGTATAGTTGATTTACAATGATGTGTTAATTTCAGGTGTATGGTAAAGTGACATTTATATATATATATATATTTGTGTGTGTGTGTGTGTGTGTGTGTGTATGGGCTTCCCAGGAGGCTCTAGTGGTAAAGAACCCACCTGCCAATGAAGGAGACTTAAGAGATGCATATTTGATCACTGGTTGGGAAGATTCCCTGGAGGAGGGCATGGCAACCCACTCCAGTATATTTGCCTGGAGAATTCCATGGACAGAGGAGCCTGGCGGGCTATGGTCCATAGGGTCGCAAAGAGTTGGACACCACTGAAGCAACTTAGCATGCATATATACACACATGCACACTTTTTCAGATTCTTTTCCCATATAGGTTATTACAAAACATTGAGCATAGGTCCCTGTGCTACATAGTAGGTCCTTGTTGTTTATCTATTTTATATATAGTAGTGTGTATTTGCTACTCCCAAATTGCTAATTGATCCATCCCGCCCACCTTTCCCCTCTGGTAATCTTGTTTGTATTTTATGTCTGTGAGTCTGTTTCTGTTTTGTAAATAGGTCCATTTGTATCATTTTTTAGATTCCACATATAAGTGATATCATATGATATTTGTTTTTCTCTGACTTAGTATAATAATCTCTAGGTCCATCTATATTGCTGTAAATAACATTGTCTCATTCATTTTTATGGCTGAGTAGTATTCCACTATGTATATGTACCACAGCTTCTTTATCCATTCATCTCTTGATAGACATTTATCTTGGCTATTGTAAATAGCACATATGCTCAAATTTTCATTGTCCTCTCGGTATTCAGGGAACCTGGAGGCTAGATGCAGAGCAGGAACCCCCTTAGCTCCTCTTGTGCACCTCAGGCTTGGGGCTGAGGGAGGACAGACCCTGAGCTGGAGGGGGTGGGGCAGTGTTCTCCAATGCTCCAGCCGCCTGACTCATCTACCTCTTGTGTATCTGGCCTTAGAGTTCATGTGTTAACATTTGTGTCCCCAGATAGCCCTCCGAGTCAGGTCCGAGGGTGAAGATGGATGCAGACTTGATAGAACTTGGCATTAGCACCCTGGCATGTGGTAGAGGTGGTTCTTTCTCAAGAGGGAAAAACAGAGCCCTTATTTAGCAAGGTCGAATTTAGATCCCACCACCAACCCCAAGCACGGCCCATGATGGCCCGGTTTCCTTCTCCTGATGCACATACACTATAAATCCTCCCTTGAATCCCTAACTTGGAGATGAAGGAGCAGGCAAATAATGCGTGGCACTCCTCCAGGCTCTCACTCTGCTCAGGACTTCAGACTCTGCTGGGGCTTCAAATCAAATACATCTACCCGGGCCTGGCCCTGAGCAGTGATCCCTTGAGGCACCTCGGAGGAGAGGCTGAGCCTTGAGTCCTGTAGCTGCCCTGGCCGAACACCTGCTGAGGGTTGGGAAGGAAAGGTAAGATGCACTTCCTGCCCTTCAGACGTGCAGCTGGACCCAGGCCTTCATTTACATAATTACCTTTGATGTAGAAGAACCTGACCATCCCATTCATTCAGTGATATGCTGCTAAATGCCTAAAAACTGGCTCTGCAGGTGAAAAAGAGCCTTAATTTATACCATTTGCCAATTTATGTGGTACAAATACTCCCACCATTGTCCATTTCAAGTTACATCAATGGGTTAGTAACTGCCTCAAAAAGCTCCTAAAGTTTTGCCATCAGTTCTCACTGGCCATTATGAGCTGACTCCAAGCCCACCACTGATAGTTGCTCATTTTCCTAAATAGGCTTTAACGTTCAGCAACTTCTTGGAAGTTCTAATTTATTCAATGAGTCAGTAAGCATAGGGAGCACTACCACTGAGTGATTACATGATGAAAACAACTTCCCATAGCTAGTGGTGGCGGAGGCCAGGTATCTTCTGGCTGCCCCGCTGCTTCTCCAGGGCATTGCAAATCTCTGAGGCCTTGTGGGGACTTCACAGGTGGTGCAGTGGTAAAGCATCTGCCTGCCAAGCAGGAGATGCGAGTTCAATCCCTGTGTCAGA